CATATCCAAGTTCCCAATCTATAGCCTTTTCTTTTCCTAACATGCCTTGTAAGAATTTATCAGAAAGTGTATTTAAGGGTAAGTGTATTATATCATTTTTTACTAGCTCCCTTTTCTCAGATGAGCCAGGGATTGGAACAAGGCAGTTTTGTTTGCGCCCATCTTTTGGCCTATAAATTAATGGAATTGGAATTTCGGAATATTTTGTACAATGAAGCTTGAGACATATTTGTGATGCAAGTCTTCGAGAAAGTCGATGTGCTGATAAAATTCGATCTGAGGGAGACCATTTCTTTTCAAGATATTTCCATTTTTCTATAACTGGAATTGCTCCACGAAATAATTCTGATTGCACCCGATTATTTTTACGACGCATTCCTTTTTTGAGTTCACGTAATTTAGGACATTTGGCCTAATAATCAGTCAAGACTTCTTCATAATAATCGGCATGCTCTTTTAACCAATTATGTGGCATTTCTCCGAAGAATGGTGGAGGTTGCGTATCGTCACCACAACAATTTACCTGACATTTATGTTCTAACAAATAATTAATAAACATTTCAAGAATATGCTTAGGAACCGTACATACCTCATCCCAAATAACAACTCGTGGAAATTTCTTCTCTCCCATGCGTTCAGGTGTCCACTCTCCTACACCATTCCATCGAAAGAAGCTATGCCAGGTTTGGGCTTTCACATTATGTTTTTCTCGAAAATCTTTGGCTAATGCATTTGTATGAGTAAAGACAATCATACTTATATTTTTAAATATTCTAATTGCTCGTGTTGTTTTACCGGATCCTCCTCCTCCATTAAGATATGAATTTCGACATCTTGTAATAGGATCATGAATTGTTGGTGCAATACTATCTGGAATATCTTTGATCGATTCCCAATGCCTATTCTTTGGCCAGTATACAATATTTGAATTTGGACCATATATTTTTTCGCTCTTATCACGCCATTGACCAGGTTGAATTTCTCGGATTTTTTGTTCTTCTGGTTAATGTAAAAGAGCATAGGAGTCTGATCTATGTGTCTTGGCACTAGCTCCGCTATAAAACCATTCCCCAAAGCAAAATCTGCAAATAAATGGTTTATGCCTTTTGCAATTATATTTTGCTAGAGGCGTTTTAGTTTTTAGAAACTCTTTAATCCATTTTGCATATTCCAATTTTGAAATAAAGAATTCTTCTGGATCACTACACATTGCACAAGAAGGATAGTGTGAACATAAATTTGGATCTGACTTTACCTCAACTTGCTTGAAGAATGCCGGTATATTTTCGATCTTATATAAAGCATCTTTTCGTACATATATAGAATCTGTAGCAATTCTTACTACTTTATTAGGATCGAATCTCCGAAGCATCTCTAACAAATTAATATGTGCATATGCTAACATTGAAGCCCGTAAATGAGTACTTTGCAGAATTTTTAAAAAAATAAATATATAATAAAAATATATTAATTATATTTTAAAAATATTTATGCTAA